TCTAAATGATAACTATGTTCTCAAATAATAGTTGCTTAGTAGAGGTGTTCGAATGGAGTGCAGTTTCCTAAATGCCGATTTCTTGACATTCAAAGTTAACAGCAAGCAGTAATTTCGTAAACCTAGTATAACCATATGAGATCAGTACCAATATAGCACTTCATAATAGAGAATAAATAAAATAACGGTTTCAGTCGACATAGTAACAACTACCATATGATTGCAACCCAGATGAGATAGCTTAAAGGGATTGGATTAATGTTTAAAATTCACCAAAAAAATCCCAGAGGCCTAATTTTCTCCTCACAATATTCAGAGCACTGTTTACCTTCGAGATTCAGAAACATTAAATCAAACTGGAAAATGTAGGAAAAAGTTTCAAGTAAAAAATATTAATATATGTATGTTCAACAAAATCAAATAAGAGAATGGATCTTACCTGCCAAACTTCGATTCCAACATATTTTATTGGCTTCAATACATATAGGTAAGGATCATCTTCAAACTCTGCAGAAGGGAAGAAGAAAAGTAGTGAGTTTGTTGGCATCTCCTCTTCCCAAAGTGGAAGAAAATGAGACTGTGTGAATGAATATCTATCCTAGATAATGGAATCCAGCAGTGAACAGCACAAAGCATGAAACGATCAGACTTGTAGAGAAGCGTTGGATCCTATGCTTGCAAATCATAAACTGTTACATGAGATGAGGTGACTGCTCTATTACATATGTGCCATGAGCTTTTTAGCCACAACTTAGCATTCGCAGTCAAGTACTTAATAAATATAGAACCAGTAAATAAGAGTGATACAATCTGTTGTTCCCAATTGTTAAAGTGGAAGTTGAAAGAGCAGAAAAAAGGCTAGTATTTACTCTACATCAAATAATGCGCCTTTTAATTCATTGCTCTTGTATAGAAGCAGGAAGAATCTACATACTTAAAGGAGCCACAAGATAGAGTTAATCCACTAACAAGTCTAGTGTGCTGGATCTCTTCCATTAAATTTGTCATGTAAATAATGTGAGAACATATCTGGGGTCAATTAATCAATTTCATATTAAATGAACCTGTTGTTTATAGAGCTTTCCAATATAAAAGAAATTCAACATATAAATCGCATAATATATATATATTGATAAATCATTAGCTTGGGCCATAGTAAGCAGCCCATTCCGTCCACCCATAAAGAAGAAATGAAGCAAAAAAGAGAAATAACCAAGATAAATTTTTTATAATATTAGGGTATTGACCATGTCAATATACTCAAGGAAGTTAGATAACTAAAATGCACTCTACGTGTAGGCAGGGGTGTTATATACAATCAAGAAGAAATCTACAGTAAGGAGTCGTTCTGGTTCTTAAGAGAAAAGGGAAGGGTAGTGTAACAAGAACGATCTAATATATTCCAAGCCAGTATTCTTTTGTCGAGAGGAAGTACTCCAATATGTATAGCTGGTATAGTTAGGGGATTGACATGTACTTTGTATTGGAGCCCTCAGCTACACTGGCTGAGAGACATCGAAGATAATAGAAAAAAAGGAATGTAATGATACGGTAGCTATTTCAATTGACATATATAATTTATCTCCACAATGGAGAAGGAAACAGATTCAATTTAGTTGAAAGTTAAACGGTCCGTATCATTACAATTGACAAATATAATTTATCTCCACAATGGAGCAGAAAACAGATTCAATTTAGTTGAAAGTTAAACGGTCCGTATCATTACAATTGACAAATATAATTTATCTCCACAATGGAGCAGAAAACAGATTCAATTTAGTTGAAAGTTAAACGGTCCGTATCATTACAATTGACAAATATAATTTATCTCCACAATGGAGCAGAAAACAGATTCAATTTAGTTGAAAGTTAAACTGTCCGAACTCCAGTATGACATAGAGTCGACACAATAAACTGATGACAGCCCCTTAATACTAGTTGGATTCATTGAACAGAACCTTACCTGGATTATCAATCCAAGGAACCTTCCACTTCCCTTTGTAGTTAGGATTCTTGATTCTCTGTTGCACCTCTGCTAAGGTTAGTGATTTCAATTAATTTATAATTAAGCATACAGCTCAAACTACATAATTAATAATGTGTTGGCACCTTGCGCTTCCAAGGGCCTTTATATGCTGGATTTGGTACTTTTTTTGGTCTCCAAATCCCATCCTCTTCCTCATCCCAGTCCACAGGCTACTAAAGAAAAACAAAGAAGTCACAAACTATCCAATATTCTAGTTAACGACACACTGTTCAGGAGAAAGAAAAAATATATACATGCACATTCCTCCATGCTTGCAAGCAGAATAACTCATCATATTTCATAAAATAGCAAAGTAGATTACATGAATAAGAATAAATCCATTTAAATACAAAAAAATAACAGAAATAAAGAATTCTAATAATGAAAATATTAAAACGAACAGCGAACCTTTTTAGCCTTAGGATCAGGGATCTCAGCTGGTATAGAATCATATCCCTGCAAGCACCCAAATAAATCATGATTTCAATCCTTATTTGAAAGATACACATCATCATTTACATAGTACAATGTAAACAGTACGGTACCTCTGGTTTGACATCATTTGGATCTTCTATATATTCTCTATCATCCCAGTCCGCCGGCTGCAGAAAACATATTGATAGACACTTTATTGATGACAAGATAGGTAATTGTACATTGAAAATAAAGGGAGATATTAGAAAGTTATGAATATGCATCCAACTTTTAGATACATAAAACCCATGTATACAATGATCTATTGATCTATAGTAAAATGTTCCTAGTCGAAGCACTTGTATAAAGCAGCATGCTAATTTGCCACGTCATTTAATCCCATCATCCACGATTGTACGACTTCTTATTCTTATCCGATTGTCTACAAGTAATGTCCTTTTTCAGAAAAGTTATATTATTTATGAAAATGTCATTATTTGAAGTACACAATGTGACTGGCAAAACTTACGACCAGTATTGACAATAAATAACTAAAATTTCAAATGGTTTCAACTCTCACCTAAAGCTACGTGGGAATTCATACCCATAGCCAATAATGGACAAAGGGAGTAGCATTCTTCCACCACAAGACACACGCACGAACGCACGCGCGCGCGCACCCTCTCTCTCTCTCATTAAGACTATAATGAAGAGAATGCATCAAACTGATGAAGCAAGGTAAGATTTGGGGAGGGGCACCTTTTTTGCATGGACGTCTTTGATTTTACGTGGAGGGAGGATATCCCAGTCTGTGTACATACTTCCAGACTCTCTTTCGCGATTATCAACCAAGACACTATATGTTGCGTCAGGCCTTAAAATGAACGTGTAAAAATGAGTCAGCTTGTCAGTTTCACAATCTAGATCCTTTTTAATGGGATAATTCTGGCCCTGGTAGGAAAGTATTACATGAAGCTTCTTAGTCTGAGTGCCACATATATCTGGTCCGAACATCAAACTGCAGATAAATAGCAATGAGGAGACAAGAATTACCAAATAGTCAGTAAATGTGCTGAAGTTGAATGAATTGCCAATAGTACAAGAGCTAAGAGCACCAAGAACAACATGCATATGGTGCTTTTAACACAATTTGTTTCTCACCATTGTTTCACTCTTCTTCATGTTTGTGGAAGCCTTTATCATGTACTTTGCGGTATTAATAAACAAGATTTGTGGCTAAAAGGTTGTTTGAATAAGCTAAAAAGTAATCTCTTTCACATGTATCTCATGTAAAGTATTGTGCTTGTTCATAAAATAGTAGTGTTGCATTATACTTGTACATAAGCCTAACATTCTTAAGTGGCCAAATTATAGAATAGTGAAGCATCTCTACTCTTTTATTTCATGTTTCTTGTGTAATCACTTGTGCACTCCGTCTGGATCCAAAACCAACATCATGTTAAATGCTTATGTCATAAACAGCTTTTAGCTGATATCTGTTTAAGACCTTATTAAGATGAAAGCAGACAATCGTAGGGCATGAGAATTTTTTACAAAAACAAGTAAAAAAAGTTATGCTATTATACCTAACCAAACTAACAAGGCATAGAGTGCAAGCATAATAAAAAATTAAGTCACTTAAGACCACAGGTCTCAAAAAGTTTTAAAACAAGAACTGACAGACCTGTATGGAGTGTCACCACCAAATTTCTTCTGGTTGACATAGCCAGAGAGAAGTTTCATGTAACCACCACCACATTCAATATCTTGCTCAAACTTTATTGAATATTGAACCACAAGGGTTCTGTTTTTATTACTGAACCCAGGTATTTTTGCAGATATGGCATAATGCTTGGCATCTTTGTATGTCTGGATACCTGCACAGTTTTGTTTAGAACAGCAGTCAGACAGAAAAACTGAGAAGAGAGGCATAAACCAGATTCATAAAGATATCATCTCCTTGAGTGGATCGCCACTCAAAGTTTAGAATATATAAGACGCCTCTTTTAGCCCAATTTGCTCTCAAACCTCATCAGTTTTCCTGTCCTTGAGGATCTTATTAATCTTTTTCTTGTCTGCGAGGTCAATAAACTTCTCTATCCCAGTTGTCAACTCTGAAACAAAAGATTTAGAAACAGAGGCAACTCTTCCCCCATGGAATGGAAACTATGGAGTCCCATGGAATGAAAACTATGGAGTATCTCCAATTACTGAACACAAGAAGAGAACAACATGTACCAAACTCCAAAATATTGTAGCGAAAGATATGCAAAAAGAGCTCCTTTCTTGAAGAATCATAATGGCAGCTTAACTATGGCTAATCGCGTATATTGAATCACATTCCTTATCCATCTAATGTAGGGATGTCAAACGGGCCGATCGGCTCGTCGGCTCGGCTCATTAAAACTCAGCTCGTGGGTGGCTTGGGCTCGTCCCAGCCAAGCAGGGGGCTCAATCCGACAAGCCGAGTCAAGCCCACGAGCCAAAATTCGTCAAAAGTGTGCAAATATACAAAAAAAAAATTAAAAAAATCACGAGCTCGCTAGAGGCTCATGGGCTCGACTCGGCCCATGAGCTCATGAGCTCGTGGACCGAGCACGAGCTTGGCTCATTTTTCATGAGACACGAGCTAGGCTCATCAAGAACCCGAGCTGAGCTCGCGGGTTAAAGGGCCGAGCCGGCTATTGCCATCCCTAATCTAATGTTTTTCTACATTTTTCATTCGGATAAACAGCTATCGTCCGTGACCTCAAAATCCAAAATGTATCGTCACCTCTCCTCCCTTTCACTTTTAAACACATGCAGTCTATTCAAGGTCCATCACCCCGTATAATCCTAATTATATAACTACTCCAAAGTTCCGTTTCCACTTATCCTTTCTGCTTCTAATGTCAGCCCATATATTAAAAACAGTTCAATATCTCAACCCAGGCATAGTCTATTCAGCTTCTGAAATTCCAGCTTCCACAAGTTCGTCTATCTTCAAAAATGTAGTATGTTTCTGCATTCTTTTAAAATCTACTAATATATTCAGCTGTGAGATACAAAAGACTCTGCCAAAATAATGTCAATTATTTTCATTTAGATCCTGTATTCAAAGCAAGAAGATAAATGAAAATAGTTGTTGAATGGATATATCTCTCCAAAGCTTGACACCATTCTTGATTCACTTTCTTTTGCTTTCTTGTTGGTGTAATGGAGGAAGACTACGATTGAAAAATTTTTAGATAAATACTGACCAGAAGTAAAGGTTGTGAATAGATATCGTTGGTGTGGCTCATAGTTTCAACGCACCTTTTGATTCAATACTCTATGACAAGTGAGAAGCAGTTCTCCACATACATTCAAATTGCCGAGCTGAATTTTTAAACCGAATTGAACAAATATCTCATTCTCATAGTTCTATGGTACTATACTCATGTGGTGCTTTGCACTCCAATTTTGAACTAACTTTTATGTTGTGTATGTGGCTCATATAGAGTGGAACACAGGCCCTGGATCAAATGGGCCGATGCCGGCGCGGAGTGGAGTGAGAGGAGCGGAGCGACGGCATTGGCCTTACGCCGGTTTAATTCACTGTTTGGTTGTTAGGGACGCTGAATGGGTTGGCGGTGCGGGGGCAACGCCCCCGCGGTACGGTGTAGGGGTATTTTCTGTACGGGCCTTAAAGTCTTTTATGGACCCAGGTTAGGGTTAGTATAAATAATATGTTGTAACCCTATTTTTATAATTGAATAAAGAAATCTCCGCTTCACTCTCGTAGACGTAGGCACATCGCCGAACCACGTAAAATTCTTGTGTTGATTTTCGTTTTTCATCTATTTAATATTGCGCATAAAATCCAACACTTTAGTATTGTAACGTCCCAAAATTTTATAGTATAGAATTATTTAGTGGTAAGGATTTTGAACTAAGCATATTTTGATAATATTGAAATGTTGAGGAACTAAAGTGAAAAAAAATATTAATCCCTTTTATTTGGGCCAAGTAACTGGATTTTGATAGGGCAAAGATAAGTATATCGATATCAGACTCTTTTTGTAGCTCATAATTAATTAGAAGTCTTGACCTAAGAAAAAAATGTTTTGGATTAGATCGCATCAAGTTAAATTCGATTAAAAGAATATATAAGGTCAAATAAAGTTGGAAGGAATTTGAAATATTATTTAAAACAAAACTTTCCCCCTTTTAGCCCATGCCACGCGAGTTGTTGACATGAAAACATTACTTGAATACAATTCAAATTCTATTATTTGAAACTTTGCACAGTTTTTCAATTCTAGTTACATACAAACTTAATTGAGAATTTCAATGTAAATACCGCAAAAATTCTCATTATTTCACCACAAAAAATAAAGAGAACCATGGTAGAGAGAATGAGAGGAAAAAATACAGAAAATAATAGGAGAATTTTTACGTATAAGATTTTATTCTTTTTAACATTTCAAAATCAAGGTAAGATACTTTTGTACAAGAGTTTGTTTCAATATCTTTTATATTCAGTAATTTATGCATGAATTGCCTTTGAACTATCGGATTCGACCAAACGAAATGTGAACTCTATTGGATTCTTTATAACGAAATGTAAAATCCTCCGAAAATTCAAAATATTATTGATGGGTGGTCGCTTGATCATCGATATACTCCATAAGAAATGTGGTATGAAATATTTATTTTATTGTTATATAATTGTCTATGAAAACTGCACGTATCTTACTAAATATTTTTAAATACTCACTCTTACAATAACTTTTCTGATTAGTTCGGATCAAGTAGAATTGTGGTGAAATAATGACGCAAATTGTCAAGAAGGTTCGAAAAATAAAAAAACATTAAGTTTTCTATATTTCAATTGATTAATTAGTTTTCATTTACGTTCAATGACATGCCTATTTAATAGTTAGCTTATTATATTTAAAGATACAATTTTCATGATTTAATTTAAATTTATAAATGTTCCAATTATTTTATTAAAGAATTTTATTTTAATGTTCTACCTTTAATATAAAGAAAAGTGAATTTTTGGCAGCACTTCAAGATTTTTGAAAATTTAAGGTGCTACAAGTATGGTCAAATAAAAGTTGCTTTGGGAATAGAAATCAGCAATTGCTCAATCAATTCTCACTATTATACAAAAAATTATAAGAATCTACTACTGTATTTATGTTTCCTCACTACTATATTGTAGCGCCACAAAATTTTTTATAAAACAAAACTATTTGTTCTACTTGCTATATTTTTATAATTTTGGAGAGTTGATGTACTAGGGTAAAATAGTATTAATTCAATTTTATTTGGGTCAAATATTTAGATTTCGATAGGACGAAGATAAGTATATCAATATTGGGCTCGTTGAATTGCTCGTAGTTAACTATGTATATTAGGTTCAAGGAAAATTTAATTGATATAAGTGAAACCTAAGTTATTGAAGTTTAAAAAACTTGTCAATAAATATTATTTTATTACTTTTGTTTTTTATTTGTGAAATTGGACAGCCACATGGGGTTGTTGGGATGGAGTTAAAACGGGTTGTTTTATTTGCATTAGATAGAAATTTTAGGTAAATTGAATTTTCACTTTATATAACCCTTGAACTATATTTATTCATTTACGCAATCGATTTTTCAACATTTGTTTATGCAACCGATTCCCCCGTTGAAAAAGTCAATTTTTCTTTCACCATATGATATAATTTTATAAACACGGTAACAGGCCGAAAATAAAGTTAGAACGTGATTTTGATTTTGTTTCTCCAAAAAATTATTTGATCTAATGAGGTAAGATAACGAGGTGTTATTTTTATCCCGATTATTTTTTGGACAATGCTATGTGTACACACAGTATTACACGCCCTCACATGAAGGAGGCCCACATACAATAGAATATTCGTGGGCCCCTTCCATGTGAGGGGGTGTAATTCATTGTATACACCTCATAGCATTTTCCTTATTTTTTTGTGAGTTATTGAATTATTAAACCTATGAAAATTAAAGAAATGATCTGTATGATATGATCATCCAATACCAAAGATATGATATGTATTGAGCTCTTATCGGTCCCTGAAGATATAACGACGATATGATTTTTTTTACGCATGATTTAAATGTTTTTATTCAAGATTACAACATTATTCGTGTCCTACTGAGTATTCTCATATACTCTCCCTTTTTCCATACTCCTCACTATTTAGAACGGTTTGTTGGTTGGCGGGCGATGAGGTGCAGTCATGGTACCATGATTTTACGGAACTTAACAAATTAAATCAGTGTAACGTGACTATGGATTTTATTTTTAGCTTTTACTTTAGTTTTATTATTATGTGGAATTTTATTGCTTAAGGTTTGGAACATACTTTAATTGGTTATGTTTTATTTAATATTGGTGAAACCAAAAATTTTGTTTGATATGTTTATGTAATTTCGTAATGAAACTTTTAGTAACGAATTAAATCTTAAAATTTGGATGGTTAAATGTATAGCACAGATGCCTATATTACAACTCCTATAGTAAAAGAAAAGGTGGACCTTTGTCATCAGGATCAGCTGCCCATTTCCCTGCGGTGTGCTTAAAAGTACCGGCTTTTCCTTCACTTCTCTTCCAATCCGATAGCACCCACTTACTGGACCACCCAACTTTTTTCCACAAAGAACAAAAATAAACAATCAGCATCATGAAGATGGGATAAGTTACAGTAAATTTTGCAAAGAGAAACACTATAATATGTGGGGTCGGTGTGGAAGAAAATTAATTAAATCAACGGAATTCCAATTATCATCCAGCAAAAACGAAAAAAATCAATATACACTCTTTAAAAAGGAAAAATTAACAAAAATAAAATAAAAATAAAAAATTTAAGAAATTTAAGCAAATGGTACATGAAAATTCCATTGCTTACATACCCATCTCTATTTTTTTCACAAATCTATACGTAAATCGAACTATCATTGTCAAAAGCTGGGAAGGGG